GTCACAAAAAGAGCATACTAGACTTCTACATAATCTTCTTAATTTAATTTACTTATATTCAACAATACACTTTCATCAATAAAATTTTCTCCCTTGACTTGGGTAATATTGAGGCTCCATGTTATAGAAACCCTTTCAGTCAATGCCTGCTATTGTACTAAAAGTCAAGAGATTAATAACATAGAGCTTTTTATCACGTGCTGTGGTTTGTGAGAACATATCCTCTTACATTGGTGTCTTAGCTCTTAGACCATCCCCACAAAATGAAAATCAGATACTGTGACTTGCAAGTTTCTAGGCTTTGATGATGGCTAGTGTCCTAGTGGTTTGGAAAAGACAAAGAAGAGAAGAACTACTGGAATCGTGTATCGTTTTCTCAGTCACATTAGAGACACAATATGTTGTAGGAGGACCCATTTCTATTAATGTGTGTATCATCACGTGGCAGTGGCTTATCGGGTAAAATTCCCAGTATCTGTCTCCAGTGGATCCATAGCATCTATCTGAATGTGTTTTCTTCCCCTCAGAATTCAGTTCCATCTCTCCCACCTACCTAAGTTCTACCCTTTCAGACCAAGGCAGTTTCTTTATTCATTAACCAATATAAGCAACACATAGAAAGAAGGACCTCCTACACCATTTCCCCTTTTCTGTTTAAACAAAAAGGAAGGTTTTAACAAACTCCATAAGGAGCTTCTTCGATGCCCATCTTCCTCTTGAAGTAGCTGGTGTTTCCAGGAGCAGATGTGTCTCATTGTCATGAAAAGTACTAAATTATTAAAACATTTTAAATGCCATATTCCGAAGGTCTCTGAAAGATTTGAAGAATGCCTATCTAACTGAAATATATCTCTATACATCTAGAAAATCTAACATGACTACAAGCTTTACTACTATAGATGATTATCTATTAACCTATATTTCTTAATTATACATTACATTTTTAAATGAGCTATACAAACACAATACCTTAATCAAGAACAGAAATATACATATAACAAAATTGACCTTAAATTTTTATCAATAAACCAAGATCCATACAAATACAAAATATTTATATTTATAACATATCCCCCTTTAAATGAAAAAGAAAATTCATAAACAATATTTGGGAATATGGGTGTAATTTTGTCCATACTGCTTCCTGCTGATTGAGGACACTATTAATGAGGTCTTTTATAGTGTATCCTGTGTGCTAGGTTCATCTCAATCAACAGTTGGGTGAAGTAATTTTTTGAGGATGTTTATGGTGATCTTCAGAAGGGCGTGCATGGTCTATCAAACCATATTTGTCTGGAATCCACATGTTCTCATTTTCAGTGGAAATAAAAGAAAAACATATTTTCCAAACCAACATATCCTTAGACTCAAATTTTGGAATCAAGATGCCTTTATAATATACATGCTGGTTTAGCTTAGCAGCACATACAATGAAATGTCTCCCTGTACTTAGATCCTTCACAGTCAAAAAATTCAAAGAAAACACAATAATATAGATAATCCAGACTCTGTGCATATTTCATCTTTATGTGGCTTGTTTTTACTCTATTACTTTTTAATATTTATTTTATTATCTTACTCTTTTAATTTATGATTATCTGTACTCTGTCTTTTTAAAGACTTCATTCTTTTTTTAAAGCATTAACTTTATTTTATGACTCTCTATACTCCTTTTCTTCTCTCTCCCAAGCCTACATATATTTATCCAACACTGTAACCCATTTAGAGGTCATTTATGTCTGAATCTATCCTATTGTGAATCTGTAATTCTTTACTGTCCAGGAACACTTCTTACAATGCTAAGCACTTCTTAAAAACTTAAGCTTCGTCATTGTTCAGGTAACATATCAGTACTTGCCCCACACAGTTCACCATGGTGGAGCTGTTCATGCCTCTGATCTGTGTACACAACCCTACTTCTAGGCACACAGCCAATCCATGCTGCCATTAAGCAAGCTACAGCAGTCTGACCCATCCAAATGCTCTTTAGATGGACCTCCTGCTTGAAAGACCCAGAGATCGCACTAGCAGCACAACCCCAAAAGCCAGCATTTCAAAATTACTAAATTACTGCTTTTTTTCTACTATGGCTGAGTCAAGAAAGTCTCTCTTAAAGGAGCTGTAGCACACTGCCAGCAAACAGCAAGAAGCTGTGTTAAACTCTGTACTTTTGTGTCTGGAATTTCTTTTCATGCTTTCTCAGGTTTTATGTGGATATAGTCGACAATGTTGGAGTACCATTTGTTGTAGGAGGACCCTCTTGTTCATCCTGGCCTCCTGGCTAGCTTAGCCCTGAAATAACCACATAGAAACTGTATTAATTAAATCACTGCTTGGCCCCTTAGCTCTAGTTTCTTATTGGTTAATTCTTACATCTTAATTTAAACCTTTTCTATTAATATGTATATCGCCACATGGCAGTGTAAAATTCCAGTGTCTGTCTCTGGCCAATCCATGGCATCTCTGACTTTTCTTTCTTCCTCCCAGAATTCAGTTCCATCTTCCCTGCCTACTTAAGTTCTGCCCTATCAGGTCAAGGCAGTTTCTTTATTCATTAACCAATATAAGCAACACATAGAAAGAAGGACCTCCTAGACCAACAATGTTTGTGAAATATTCCCACATTCAGTTTCCTCATTTGTGAACTCTACCTTCTCCTATTACTTTTGAGTTTATTATAGGGAATTGAAGTTTTCTTTGAAAATAAATATTTCACAAGCTTTTTATTTAAATACTTGTAAAAATAATGGCGCTTAAATCTTACACCAATTTATTAAAAGACTGAAAGAATATAGAGCAAAAGATTAAAAAGATCAATGAAAATTATAAAGGCAAGCAATACAATCACTGTAAATTATTCTGACACTGTTAGTATGGTTTCAAACCAAAAATAATAATTCTATGAGAAGAGAAATTTTCAAAATATAATAAATACTTTCTTCACTTGAAAACCTAGTTAAGACATGAGAATGTTATAAACATTGGAAAAATGCTAAATTTATCATTACTTTGTTATGATTTTGATATCAATGTATTCTATATTAAAACTCTGACATGCTGCTACAATAAGAATAGTTTACAAAATAGGTTAATGTGTGTTATCAGTGTGCAGTTCACTTAATGTAAATCAGTGCACAAAAAATGTGGGAGAATATTTTCTTCCAAATTTAAGACTTTGCATAACATTGGTGGTAATTTAAAGTAAAATTTTTATACCAAATATACTAGAGGAAAGATTGAATTAAATTTTTATTCTCCATATGCTAAATAATATCACAATAATATTTACATGATCGAAGAGTAACTAAAGACTAGTAAACCAGATTGAGCCAGAAACCTGGGACAGAGTGGGCCTGGGAAGGTGAACTTCATGGCAGCAGGCAGATCCAGACCAGGGACATTTGCAGAAGGAAGACTGGGCCAGTGACCAAGGCTTGAAGAGGCCTGGGACAGCGAATTCCACAGGAGCAGAACTGAGCCAGCAACCTAGACTGGACCAGGCCTGAGACAGTGAGCTCTCCCTGAATGGGAGTGGATCAAGACCAGAGACATTTGTGAAGGCAAGATTGAGCCAGCAACCTGGACCAGAACAGGCCTGGGATGGCAAACTTCACATGAACAGGATTGAGCCAATGACCTAGACTGGAGCAAACCTGAGACAGCGAACTCCACAGGAGAAGGTACAAGGAACCAACCACTGAGGGAGTGAGACAGAGCAAGAGACCTCCATGGGTCCAGGTGTGAGTCTGGGACCTTCAAGGGAGTAGATCTGAGCTAGGACCACTGTGGGTCTGGGCATGATTCTGGGACTTCTGAGGGAGTAGGCAGAAACCAGATATCTCTGTGGGTCTGGGCATGAGTCTGGGACCTCTGAAGCAGTAGGCCTGAGCTAGGACCAGGCACACCTGAGTCTGAAACCTCTGAGGGAGTATATGAGAGCCAGAGACCTTTGTGGGACCAACTCCAAGCCAGAGACCTCTGCAGGAATGAATCTAAATCAGGGGCATTTACAGAATTAGGTCTGAGCCGGCAACCTAAGCCAGAGCAGGGATGAGACAGCAAACTCCACCAGAGCAGAGCAAACCCCAGGAGCACTGAGCAACCTCCAGGAACACAGAGTGACCAATGGGGAGACTGGAACTGTGGCACTAACTGCACCACAAGGAGCAACCTTGTGTTGGAGTGTTGGAGCTATAGGAAACTGGAAGATTGACCACCAGAGTCACAGACAACCCCAACTACACCAATTAGAGGAAAAGATGGGTAGGCAAGGTAAAAACACATGCAATACCACAAAGGGCAACACAACACCAGTAAAATCTAGTGACCCTACAATAGCAAGAATTGAACAACCAATTATAGACGAAGCAGAAGAAAATAACCTAAAAAATGACTATAGGAGAATGTTTGAGGTTCTTAAAGAGGAAATGAGAAATTCCCTCAAAGAAATGGAGGAGAAAACAAACAAAAAATTGGAAGACATCAACAGGTACCTTAATAAAAACTGAGAAAAATCAATCAAACACGTGAAAGAAAATTTCAAGACTTGAAAACTGAAGTAGAGACAATAAAGAAAACAAAAGCTAAAGGACTATAAAAACAGATATTATGAGAAGACAATCTGGAACAACAACGCAAGCATAAACATCAGAATACAAGAGATGGAAGAGAGAATCTCAAGTGCTGAAGATACAATAGAGGAAATAGACTCATTTATCAAAGAAAACATTAAATCTAACAAAAGCCTAACACAAAATATCAAGGAAATATGGGACACCATGAAAAGACCAAACCTAAGAATAATAGGTATAGAAGAAGTTCAACTCAAAAGCACAGAAAATATACTTTAAAAAATCATAGAAGAAAACTTTCCCAACCTAAAGAAAGATATCACTATGAAGATACAAGAAGATTACAGAACACCAAATAGGCTGGATCAAAAAAAAAAAGTTCTCTCGGCCATTATGCCGGAAAAGATCCTGCAGAGCTGAGCGGCCAAGATGTGTGACTTCGTCGAGGGCCAGACCATAGAACTAAAGGAGGCTTTCCAGCTGTTTGACCGAACAGGTGATGACAAGATCCTGTACAGTCACTCTGGGGATGTGATGAGGGCTCTGGTCCAGAACCCTACCAATGCCGAGGTGCTCAAGGTCCTGGTGAGCCCCAAGAGCAATGAGATAAATGCGATGGTGCTGGATTTTGAGCACTTCCTGCCCATGCTACAAACTGTGGCCAAGAACAAGGACAGGGGAATTTATAAGGACTATGTTGAAGGCCTTCATGTGTTTGACAAGGAAGGGAATAGTACTGTCATGAGTGCTTTTATCCAGCATGTACTCATCACACTGGGAGAGAAGATGACAGAGGAGGAAGTGGAGATGTTGGTGGTGGGTTACAAGGACAGCAACAGTTGTATCAACTATGAAGAGCTTGTCTGGATGGTGCTGAACGACTGAGGACACTTCCAGATCCCAAGCCTGTGCCTTGTCCAGTGTGAGATCTCTCTGTGGCCCTCATAGGTTCCCTTGTCACAGCACCTTGCCATCTGGTCTCTTCTGAATGTCTTCCTTCACCAAATAAAATTTTCTCTCTTTGCCCCCCAAAAAAAGTCCTCTTGCCATAAAATAATCAAACACTGAACGTACAGAATAAAAAGATAATATTAAGAGCTATAAAGAAAAAGTGCCAAGTAACATATAAAGGCAGATCTATCAGAGTTACACCTGACTCCCGGTGGAGACAATGAAAGCCAGAAGGTCATGGTCAAGTGTTATGCAGACATTAAGAGACCATGAATGCCAGCCCAGATTATAATACCCAGCAAAACTTTCAATCACCATATGAAGACAAAATAAAGTATTTCATGACAAAACCAGATTTAATCAAAACCTAGCCACAAACCCAGCCCTACACAAAGTACTAGAAGGAAAACTCCAACCCAAGGAAATTGTCTACATCAACAAAAACACAGACAACTGATGATCCCACAGCAGCAAATCCCAAAGAAGGGAAAAACACACAAATTAACAACACCAACAATGAAAACTAAATTAACAGGAGATAGCAATCACTGATCATTAATATCCCTTAATATAAATGGACTCAACTCTCCTATAAAAAGATACAGGCTAAGAGATGAGATAGAAAAACAGAATCCATCCTTCTGCTGTACACAAAAAACACACCTCAACCTCAAAGATAGACATTGCCTCAGAGTAAAGGGTTGGGGAAAAAATTTTCCAATCAAATGGACATAACAAACAAGCTGGTGTAGCTATCCTAATATCTAACAAAATAGATTTCAAACTAAAATCAATCCAAAGAAATGAAGAAGGACATTTCATATTAGTCACAGGAAAAACTCATCAAGTGGAAATCTCATTACTGAACATCTATGCCCCAAATACAAGGGCATCCTCATATGTAAAAGAAACGCATGTAAAGCTTAAATCATACATTAAGCCCCACACACTAATAGTGGAGATTTGAACACTCTACTCTCACCAGTGTACAACAGGTCAGTTAGACAAAAAATTAAGAGAGAAATAAGGGAATTAACAGATGCTATGACTCAAATGGACTTAACAGAGAGCTATAGAATATTCTATCCAAACATAAAAGAATATACCTTCTTCTCAGCACCTCACAGAACCTTCTCAAAAATTGAGCACATAAACAGTAACAAAACAAACCTCAACAGATACAAAACAATTGGAATAGCCCCATGTATCTTACTGGATCACAATTATTTAAAACAAGAATTCAACAGCAACACTACTTTTAGGAATCCCACAAACATATGGAAATTAAACAATGCTCACCTGAGTCATCAGTGGGTCAAGAAAGAAATAAAGGGAGAAATTAAGGACTTCCTAAAATTCAATGAAAATGATCACACAACATACCCAAATTTATGGGACACAATGAAAGCAGCGTTAAGAGGAAAGTTCACAGCACTAAATGCCTACATAAAGAAGCTGGAAAAATCCCACACTAGTGAATTAACAGAACATTTGAAAGTGCTAGAACAAAAAGAAGCAAACTCATGGCAGAAAATATTCAAATTGAGAACTGAAATCAACAAAGCAGAAACAAAGAAAACAATTCAAAGACTCAATGAGACAAAGATGGGTTCTTCGAGAAAATCAACAAAATAGACAAACCTTTATCCAAACTAACCAAAAGAGAGAGAGAGAGAGAGAGAGAGAGAGAGAGAGAGAGAGAGAATATCCAAATTAACAAAATCAGAAAAGAAAAGGGTGACATAACAGACATGGAGGAAATTCCCAGAATCATCAGGTCATATTTTGAAAACCTTTACTTTACAAAATTGGAAAACTTAAAAGAAATGGACAACTTTTTGGATAAATATCACTTACCAAAATTAAATCAAGACTAGATAAGCAAATTAAATAGACCTATAACTGCTAAAGAATTAGAAACAGTCATTGAAAGTCTCCCAACCAGAAAAGGGCCAGGACCAGATGGTTTCAGCTCAGCATTCTACAAGATTTTTAAAGAAGAACTAATACCAATACTCCTCAAATTATCCCACACAATAGAAACAGAAAAAAACATTGCCAATCTCTTTTTATAAAGCTACAATTACCCTGATACCCAAACCACAGAAAGACATTACTAAAAAAGAGGATTACAGACCATTATCACTCATGAACACTGATGTAAAAATACTAAATAAAATATGAGCAAATCGAATCCAAGAACACATCAGAACCATCATCCATCATGACTAAGTTGACTTCATCCCACAGATACAGGGATGGTTCAACATACGAAAATCTGTCAACATAATCTACCATATAATCAAGCTGAAAAATAAAAACCACATGATCATCTCATTAGACACTGAAAAAACTTTCAACAAAATACAACATCCCTTCATGATAAAGGTCTTGGAGAAGGCAGGGATATAAGGAACATACTTAAACATCATAAAGTCAATATACAACAAAGCCAATATACAACATCAAACTAAATGGAGAGAAACTCACAGCGATCCCACTGAAATCAGGAACAAGATAAGGTTGTTCACTGTATATCAATTCAATATAGTTCTTGAGGTCCTAGCTAGAGCAATAAGACAATGAAAGGAGATTGAGGGGATACAAATAAGAAAAGAAGTCAAACTCTCACTATTTGCTGATGATATGATAGTTTACATAAGTGACCCCAAAAAATTCTACCAAAGAACTTCCACAACTCATAAACACTTCCAGTAATGTAGCAGGATACAAGATTAACTCAAAAAAAAATCAGAAGCCTTCCTTTACACAGATGATAAATGGGCTGAGAAAGAAATAAGAGAAACATCACCCTTCACAATAGCCACAAATAGCACAAAATATCTCGGAGTAACTCTAACCAAACAAGTGGTTGATGTGTATGACAAGAACTTTAAATATTTGAATAAAGAAATTGAAGAAGACACCAGAAAGTGGAAAGACTTTCCATGCTCTCTGGTGGGTATAATTAACATAGTAAAAATAGCAATCTTACCAAATGCAATCTACAGATTCAATGCAATACCCATCAAAATCCCAGCAAAATTCTTCACAGGCCATTGAAAGAACAGTATTCAACTTCATATGGAAAAGCAAAAAACCCAGGATAGCTAAAACAATCCTGTGCAATAAAAGAACTTCTGGAGGCATCACAATCCCTGACTTCAAACACTACTACAGAGCTACAGTACTGGAAACAACCTGGTAATGGCATAAAAACAGACAGAAGGATCAAAGAAACCAAATCCAAAACCCGGATATTAATCCACACACCTTCAAACACCTGACTTTTGACAAACAAGCAAAAAATTACAAATGGAAAAAATAAAGTAACAAATGATGCTGACATAACTAGACATCAACATGTAGAAAAATGAAAATAGATCCATATCTATCACCATGAGGCTGGAACCAAAACTGAGAAAAGGATATCAGGATTGAACATGCATACACCTCTCAAGCTGCTGGTAGAAGAAGCCCTTTATTGAACAACACCATGGAAGTTTTTATACCTAACTGTTATGAGTCTGTAAGGACAAACAAGTTCAGGAATGTTAAGAGATAATATTAAGTGAAATGTTATGAGTCTGTAAGGACAAACAAGTCCAGGAGTATTATGATGAAATATTAAGTGACACACAAAATGAAACTAAAAGGTATGAAGCAATGTGTGCAGTGGTGATAAGAGTTTGAGCTGAATGAACAAGTGTGACGTAACTATATGATAAGCAGACGTGTGCTAATCTAGAAGTAAGAAGGTAAAGCAGCCAGAAACAGTATAAAAAACTTGAGGCTCACGGCCAGAAGACATTCTCAAAATGACTGGCCAGACACGCTGTCAGAGCAGTCATGGAGAATCCAACGAACCACCAACTTCACAGCTGAGACCTTCCAAGAGCCAGAGAACCAGCTCTTGCCAGCGGATCAAGAATTGCTTATCCAGAGGTCTACGTCAGGAGCCACAAACCATTATCAGGTCGTATACACCAATGCCTCAGTAAGTTAGGGTAGAAGACCTTGCCTAGGGCATATAATCCTTGCTGAATGTGCGATGTGATTGAATGTGTGATGTGATTGATTGACTAAGGATTGTTATAGTTTTGATGTTTGCTTATATCTGCCATAGGAATAATTAGAGATTTAAATGATTGTTATAGTTTTGATGTTTGCCTATAGTTATGATGCTTAGATTTAAATGGTTGTTATAGTTTTGATGTTTGCCTATAGTTATGATGCTTACTTATATTTACTATAGTAATAATTGGAGATTTGATTATTGGCATAATAAACTTGTTCCTAAAACAAAGACTGTGGTCACCCTGAGTATTTGCTTGCAGACCTCGAAGCAAGGGCAGAATGCCCACTCAGGAATAGGGCTCGCGACACTAACACAGTCAGATGGGTCAACAAGTGAATACTTCATCGCCTGATCCTCAATAAAGGCCAGGACAATGCATGCTCAGGCGTTAGTGTTGGCAAACAACTTTGACACAGCTCTCAGAAGCTCAAATCACTAGTGGGAAAGACCATCTGGAAGCCAGGACTTCAAACGGTCCCAACACAAATGGATCAAAGACCTCAACATAAAGCCAGCCTCACTAAACTTCATAGAAGAGAAAGTGGGAAGTACACTTAAACACATTGGCACAGGAGACCACTACCTAAATATAACCCCAGTGGCATAGACACTGAGAGCAGTAATAAATAAATGAGACCTCCTAAAACTGAAAGGCTTCTGTACAGTAAAGAACATGGTCAACAAGGATCTTCACCAACCCCATATCAGACAGAGGTTTGATCTCCAAACTATACAAAGAACTCAAGAGATTGATCATCAAAAGAACAAATAATCCAATAAAAAATGGAGTACAGACCTAAACAAAGAACTCTCAATAGAGAAATCTAAAATGCCTGAAAGACACTTAAGGAAATGT